GCTTGCACTTAAGTCTGTTAAAGCAGTTTTCACTTGAAGATGCGCTTCCCATTGAAAAGTGAAACCATGAAAATCAAAAAGCTAAATTTACCTGTGTGAGCAGAGTACAGAGCAGAGCTGCCTGAGAATGCAGCTAACTGAGGCGAGCAGGTGGAGGTGGGCAGTAAGCAGAAGTGATGCCCGTTTAGGCAACTGAGACTTATAGACGCAGAGCTTCTAAGCACCATCCTATCTGGGCACGAAAGGTGGATTTTATTAGTGCACGCTAATCAGAAGTTATGAGTAGAATCAATTAACTGGTCTGGTCAGCTTTGAAGCTGCTTTGTTCCGGGTTAGGGCAGGGAAAGAGCCCTAACCCTGTAGGCCCTGGGCTGTCATGTGCAGAGGGCCGCCATGAAAACCAGAGGTTGTCTCCTGTTCCTATGCAGGACAGGACAAAGGACTTCAGCTCCAAGGACTGTACTCTCCCCAAATTGGAAGGGTCACAAGATGCTTCTAGGATGGATCTGAAGAACCTGAAGTAGAGTTGCAAAACTGTGTGGCACTATCAATTTGAATTTTATTCCTTGACTAGAATGGATAACACAGACATTCTTCAGAGTCTGGGGAGGCAAATCCTCATAGTAACAATGCATGGGTCCATGACCACCTCCACTGAAAAAGACTCTTCCAGAAATACCTAAGGGGTTTTCCGAGGTCATAATGAGGGTTCTGTGTAGTTGTACTGAACTTAGATGAGCTCCAGGCTTCCCAGTTTCACTTACACTTCACAACTGTTATCTATTTTCTTTCCCAGCAATTTTGAAGTCTAAAGATCCTTGTAGACTCACGCCTGGCCACTCAGCAATCGAAGTGCATGGGAGACTAGGTTTTACTATGACCTGAATCACTGCTATGAGTTTAAAACCCAGGGATAGGCAGGGGCTCTGAGACTGAAGATACCAAGCAAGGGAAGCTGGGGCAGGGCCAGATGTACTCCATCAAAATAGGATGCTCTGGCTTGGAGCATCCTACGTACCAAGCACCTGTACAGAGCACCGATGTACAGGAGAAGGTCTCTCTAGAGACAGACTCTCTGTGAAGTGATTATGGAGAGTAGACAGTTCACATAGGCACTTGTGGGTGCAGCCCTAATGTAATAGCACAGTGGTGTGAGACAGTCACTTAGGATCTCACGGCCTGCTTCCCCTGTTGTACACAGGCTCTAGGCTGCTCCTGCTTCTCGTTCAGACCTTGGCCGAGCTTTTATTTTTTGATTTACATGTGTGCGTGTATATCTGTGCGAGGATATGCACACAGAAGTTCAGTTGTCCCCTGGAGATGGAGTTACAGATGGCTGTGATTCACCCAGCATAGGTGCTGGAAATCAAGCTTCGATCCTCTGGAGAAGCAGTATGTGTCCTCGACTGCTGAGCCACCTTTCAGGTTCCCTGGATTGGTTCTCTCGACTCTGATCCCTCTCCTCCAGCAACCACCTCTGCAAATTCTGATCACACCATCTCATCGTGGGACTTGCCAGTAGGTAGTGCTTGGATGTTGCACAGGTGGTGGACCAGTCTCTATTAGCCTCTGAGATTGTTTCATGAGTAAAGTTAGAATATCCCCAGGCAAGAAAATACCCTTTTCTCATTATGAAAGTCACTACTGAGAGACCTGCTTCATCCACTACAAGTTTGCATTAGGATAAAAGGGGTTTGCTTTGGGATGAAATTTGGATAACCCATTCCCTTCAGCCTCAGAAATTTCTCTTACCCTTGGCTCTGGACATTGGGCTCTTTTTGATTGACTTTGGAGGCCTGGCCTTGCCCTGGGCCCGGACAGTCTTCCAGGTAAGGCTGTCTTGACTTGGTGAGGTCACCTGGCTGTGTGCAAACTGCAGCACACGGGCTCACCTTCTCTGGAGGAAACTGCAGAGGAGGACAACGGAGGTTCCTGAGGGGACTGGCCTTGCTCACAGGCATTGTACTCAGGTAACCTGGGAGCCTAGGAAAGCATGGGCCCATTGAGGCCCAGAGACAAGAAACAGACCTGACCGAGAGTGAAGCCACCCCCTTTCCTGAGCACCGACCTGTGTCTGAGTGAATGATGGACATGAGCCACAAATCTCCACCAGGTCCCTTAACTCAGGACTTCTGTGCCTTTTGCCACCCCAACAGAGTCCTTAGGCAAAACTTGACACCACCTTCCACCCTTGGCCTCTGGCTTGCCCTCATGGCAGCTGAAGCTCAAATGCTGTCGCAAGGTGTGGTACATTCGGAACCTTCTGGTAGGAGGACACATCAATCCCTGCAATTGGGATGGCAGAGTGAAGGCCTCCAGGACAATGCTCCTTGAGACCAGCCAGAGCAGAGGGCATGTTGGTGTCATTAGTCAGCATAGCCCCGCCTCAGGCACTTCAGTTTGAAGCAGAGGAAAAACGTTTTGTAGTGATCCCAACCCTCTGGTGCTGTCCTCTATATGGATGCAGAATTAGCCTTTCAGTGGGGGACACACAGTAAGTTAGCTGATTGCAAAGAGAAGTGTGTTATTTCCATGCTTGTCCTCAGCTACCTGACTTCTGGGGTTGAGAGGATTAGGGCCACAGGCCACAGCAGGGCTATGAAGCCTCTGGGACCTCATTGCTGACCTTGAATCTGCTGGGCCCTTGTTAGAGCATTTGTCCCCAGTAAAGGAACATGCACTGGATAGGGTTCTAGCCAGAGAAGACTCAGCCTGTGTCCACTCTCCATAAACATAGAGGACTACCCCAGGGTCAAGATAACCCCAGGAACAAGCTGACCTCCACAGCAGGGGCATCCAGAGGATTTGTGCTACTGCTGCTTACTTGGCTAAGGGAGAGAAAGGCAGTGCTCTTTCTGATTCTGGGGACCCGGGTTCTCACATTTGCCACTCTCTCCTCCAAGTACCAAACCAGTTGCCACTCTGGATAGGGGTTGGCAAACTGTGGGTATCTGTGTCCTTGAGCCCTTGGAGTGAGCCCTGGCCTTCAGATTGATAAGAGAGTTTTCCTAGTCCCAGAGGGGTCCAAATGGGGCAGCCATGATTAATCACCAGATGCAAATAGCTCATTTAAAAAATTAATCACACCAGGACGATCTGATTCATTATTCAGCACTCGAGTGGTGTGCACAGAATTCCTAACAGCCTGTCAAGCTAGAGATAAATGACCCAGGACCACTGTCCCTCTGCATTCTGTCTCTTCCCTCACACTTGTGTGGGCTGTTGAGGTTTCTTGTCCTGTTTCAGCAGGACACAGGCTTTGTTGGACTCCAGGGAATCAAGGTGGCCAGATTCTATCAACTTGGGCGGCTAGCCTGCCAAATGAGCCTGAAGAGGCAGACCAAAAAGTGCCTAGTTCTATCCTGTCAAAATGGATGGATGCCCTGACTGAGCACATGGCTCAGTCGACAGAGTGCTTGCTTTGCAAGCACAGGGACCCGAGTTCAATACCAGAACCCACTGAAAACAAAACCAAAACCAACAAATGGATATGGCAGCTTGTGTTTGTAATTCCAGCACTGGGAGGTGGAGACAGCTCACTTACCAGGAAGCTCTCTTTACCTGGCAATTCCCAGGCCAGTAGGGAAACTGTCTTGAAAAACAAGATGAGCAGTACCTGAGGGATGATACTTGAGGTTGTTCTCTGGCTTTCACATATATGTATATATGTGTATCTGCATATACATGTTCACTTGCTTACATGCATGCACACACACAGACACACACACCTCTTCCCTGTCCAGCGTGAGGGCTGCCTATTCTATTCTTGGTAATGGTTCCTTTACCTTTTCCACAAAGAAAACTACACCCCTCCATGGGAAGGACTACTTCCCTGACAGGCCTGAGGCACACTTGCTTCTTTTTTTTTTTTTTTTTGATTTTACGAGACAGGGTTTCTCTGTATTGTTTTGGAGCCTGTCCTGGAACTTGCTCGGTAGACCAGGCTGGCCTCGAACTCACAGAGATCCGCCTGTCTCTGCCTCCCGAGTGCTGGGATTAAAGGCATGCACCACCACCGCCGGGCGGCACACCTGTTTTTTTGCTCCACCTTTTTCCCCTCAGAGAGACATTCATGCACATTCCAGCTGAGACTAGTAACTAGACCCTCTGTGAGAACTGTACAGGGATGGAGTCCTCACCAGGTCCTTCTTCCTACCCCCTGTCTTCCCAAAGAGTGTCCTCCTCAGCTGCTCCACCAAGAGTCTCACCATCCCCTTGCCTCTGAAAGCACAGGTTGTTTGAGACCCTCCATCTGCCTACTTTGAGTTCTGGGTTTGAGCTCTGGGTGCAGGCCTGTCCTGTCGCTGGAGGGACTCAGATGGCTGCAGGAGAAGGAGAGGTGACAAAGGACAAAGCCAAGGCTGTTTCCTGATGTCCCGGTGGATCCCTGATGGAATGGGGGCCACTTCTCTCCATGACGCACCACTGTGTTTCTCCCGTACTTGGCTGTGAATACTGCTACTTTAAGGTTAACAGTCACACTCTAGCTGGGCAGTGGTGGCGCACACCTTTATTCCCAGGATTTGGGAGACAGAGGTGGGTGGATCTCTGTGAGTTTGAGGCCAGCCTGGTCTACAAAGCTACACAGAGTAACCCTGTCTCAAAAAAAAAATCACATCATAGGTAACAGGAGTGCTTCAAATAAATAAAACTTATGCTTCTGCAAGGTGTGGTGACATATGTTTTTAATCTCAGTACTACGGAAGCAGGGGTAAGTGGTTCTCTGTGAGTTCAAGGCCAGCATGGTCTATATAGCAAGTTTTAGGTTGGCCAGAGTTACTCAGTGAGACCCTGTTTTTATTTTGTGTGTGTGTGTGAGTGTGTGTGTGTGAGTGTGTGTGTGAGTGTGTGTATGTGTGTGAGTGTGTGTATGTGTGTGTGAGTGTGTGTGTGTGAGTGTGTGTATGTGTGTGTGTGAGTGTGTGTGTGAGTGTGTGTATGTGTGTGAGTGTGTGTGAGTGTGTGTGTGAGTGTGTGTGAGTGTGTGTATGTGTGTGTGAGTGTGTGTGTGTGTGTGTGTGTGTGTGTGTGTGTGTGTGTGTGTGTGTGCCCAGGACCAGGCTATCTGTCTTGGCTGCCAGCACCTTTACCTGCTGGATTGTTTCGCCGGCTCTCAAAGGCTTTGTAGAAGGGCAGTCCTGCGGAAGAGACTCAATCTAAATGTTAATATTTGCACTCTTGGTGTTTGCTGGCCTGGAGACCGAGGGTCTGGGCTTGCAGTAGCAACCTCTTAAAGGTGAGGGGTGACCTTTGATTTTGAATCGGAAGTACAGACTTCATGGGAAGCAAATACCCTCTTCCCGCAACCTGGAGACAGCTTCTGGAAGCTGCTGCTCACAAATCCACGGGACAGAGGGACCACAAACCACAGAGAACAGGAGCGGTGGGCGTGTGGGCACAGGTGCATGTGGTTTGGCATTTTCTTCAAGCTTCATCTTGGCTGCAGCAGCCTTTCTTCCCACAAGAGCCTGGGCAGAACTCTGAGCTTCCTGCGGTTTCCGCGTCTCTCCTGACAATTCCCCGAGGAAAGTGCTTCATTTCAAATTTTGGAGCTGGCTGTTTTCATTCTCGCCCCCATAGATGAGAAACTGCTGCCCTCGAGTGGGTACCTGGGACATGGAGCAGGTGTGTGGTGGGGCAGCTGACCATATTGAGCCACCTGCTACAGGGCTATGCCTGACTCTCCTTGCAGGCTGTGGCTCTGGAACAGCCTCCAGCTCTCCACAGGGCACAGCTGGCCTGAACCTGCAACCAGCAGCCTCCAGCTGGAGCACAGAGGCGGGGCGGGGGACGGGGGGGGATAGTTCAGGTCCATCATGACCTCACAGGCTCTGTGGCTGAGTCCCCAGACTGAACAAGGCTTATAGATGGGATCCAAATGTGGGGGGAGGGAGGAAGAGGGGACCCTTGCAGGCTCTACGTGGCTGAGTAGCAGTGAGCACATTCTGCCTTCCACACACCTCACAGGTGTTTGTCCTGGGATCCTGGGGAAGCAGGTGTACCTTTCTTTCCTGTCCATGAGTGGGTCTAGGACAGCACCTTCATTGCCCTCCCTCTCCTCCAAGAGAGGGTATGGAGTCACACCGGATACGACCTTCCTGTGAATAGAGAACTGAGAGCAATCAAGAGAGGAGGAATGGCTGGGCTCGATCCAAGACGGAAGCCCAGGGATGCCACGGAGAGCTTCTCTCTCTATACTACTTCTCTCTATATACTACTGTCTTGGTCCTCCTCTGCTATACAAGGCTCTGGTCTTGGGCAATATGAGCCTCAAGGATTCCGGACTGTTCTACTGAGCCACTTCCTATGCAGTCATCCAACAGTTGAGCCTCAGTTGCCCCATGTTTCACCCTTGTGCTGTTCTACACTGGGTCTAGCTAGTCCCTTAGTTATTTTCCCATTTGGTCAGTCAACAACTTCAATTTTCCCATGCATCACCCTGTCACCTGCATTCTTGCATGCATCCCAAGCTTTTCTGCTATTTATAAGGGCCTGGGCACAAGCTCTCCAGGTCAGTTCCAGGGCCAGTCAGTCATTTAAGCACCGACATTAGCAGGCGCTTCCACCTGGCAGGCTGGACTTGGGTGCTGGGAATGTTTCTTGCCGCTGGGATTTGTGTTACTTTTTTTTTTTTTTTTGAGACATTGTTTCTCTATGTAACAGTCCTGGCTACCCTCGAACTAACTCTAGAGCAGACTGGCCTTGAACTCAGATATCTGCTTATCTCTGCCACACCGCCCAGCTTGTGTTACAATGTAGATGTAAAATGTTATTCAAGAACTCTGTACTAAGGCCTGGTCCCAGCTGGGTTCAGAGATGACTGGATCAGAAGGGCTCTGACCATCACTGGATCAACCCATTGGTGGATTCAGAGTGGAAGGAAACAGAGGTGGACTGTGTAGGAGGTGGAGCTGGTTGGAGGGAGGGAGACTTTGGGCAGTTTGCACTGCTATGTGCTCCCACCATGCTGAACTCTTACCTAACAGGTCAAGAAACAGCAGACATAGGTGATTATAGACTGAAACGTGAGTCAGGATCAAGTTCCCTCCTTTTAGATGTTTTCTCCAGCTATCTTGTCACACTGATGAAAAGCTGATTAGAGGGGCTACTGGAGGCCCCGGAGAAGAGGGCGGAGTGGGTTTTCAGATAGACTCCTTAGCTGGAGTCTAGTTCTGACCCCAGGGCAGTGGGTAGTGTTTATGGGCTAACTGACAAGGGGAAATCCTAAAGGAGCTGAATACCATTTTCTAGTGTGCGCGCACGCGTGCGTGTGTGTGTGTGTGTGTGTGTGTGTGTGTGTGTGTGTGTGTGTGTAGCACTGCACACAGCTAGCCATATTCTGCTGCCTGGGTTAGTTATAGCTGTGATGGGGCTGGATAGGAATGACACCAAGCTTAGCCTGAGGCAGGACAGATGTGTAGTCGTGCTGGTTAAGACTTCAGGCTCCCTGCTGGTAGGAGGTAGGGTGAGTCACCAGAGAGGTAGGGTCACCCAGGCCACCTACCCACACAGGTGACTCAGAGAGGAAGCTGGTACATCTCTACCCACCCCAGCTTCTAGAGCACCCCCCTCTACCTGCCCTGGCAGGAGAAGCTCTCCAAGGTTGCATTCTCAAACAGGATCCTTCTGGGACCTGCTGTCACCAAGAGGAGCCCATTAGTCACAGTGAGAATGAGCTTGGGAGAAAGCCATGCTATCCCACCATTGACTGCTGCCCTAGACGATGACATGGAGACAAACAGATGAAGTACAGAGGGAAGTTAGGGACTGGCAAGATAACTCAGCAAGTTCTTGGCTCACTGGCCATCCACCTAGCCTATTTTGTGACTTCCATGTCAATGAGAGACCCAGTCTCAGCAGGAGGTGGACAGCTCTTAAGGAATGACCCAGTGTTGTCCTCTGACTTCCACCTGCCTGCACATTCAAGTCTCTGACCTCTAGATGCATGCATTCACAAGCTCACACTCACACATGCACCTGCACCCATGAACATACCCAAGAAAGATTTAAATTCAAGGACAGAGAACTCTAGCCTGCATACCTATGCAGGGAATCTCTACCCCAGTCCATCATCTTAACATCTTAACAAGCAGGTTCCATGTGACAACATGCCATTGCCCTCACACCCCAGCTTTGGCCATCATCGGGGCAGTTTTACATGCAGAAAGAGCAATGTGTGGCACAGCGTCTGGTTTGCTGACACAGCTTGGCCTCATTCAAGTGTCAATTATAAATGCCTCCTGGTTCTTCCAGCAATGCACAGTGGCATTTCCTCCCACGGCCTTGCATTGAGCCAGACCCCGGTGAAGCAGTTCTCTCCTTACCTCACTGCCATGAGATCAGTCCTCAAAGTGGACTGGCCAGAGACCGGCCTCAAAAGCCTCTGGAGCAGCATCCTGGGCCAGTGCTGAGTGTGCTCGGAGATGGTCTCTGCAGGTCTGATGCATCTTCCTTAATACCAAAAGAACGGGCGGCTTTTGATATGTGTTTCAAAAATAAAATCAAGTGGACTTTGTGTGGGATGCTCCACAACTCAGGATGTGTCCTTCTTTGATGGTAGCACAATGACAGACACCCCTGGCTTCCACTGGAAAGTGTGGGAATTTTTAACAAACCTTTTGTTGTTAAAGAATAGGAGGAACATTGCTGGCTCCGGCTTCAAGTGCCCCTGGAGCTGAGCGGGGGTGTTATGTTGTGCTTAGTGCCAGCTCAAACCATGTGCCTTTAAAGTTTTATTTTTAACTGAAGCATCCAAGCCCCAGTGGTTGGGGGCCAGGACCAGAGGCAGGGGTGATCCAGAACAAGATATTTCTGAATTCGGTAAAGAAAGACTGCTCTGAGTCTACCTTCTTGTAGCTCCTAAGGTTAGCTGTGCTCCTACTAAGTGGGATGAAGCATGTCCATCCACAGTGTCCTTTGTCACCCAATGGCTCCATCTTCTTCTGGTTCATAAGATTGTCCCCATGCTGAACTAACCAGCGGCCTTGACAGATGTTCCTGGTGTCTGCAATGGTTTGAGCACCCAGACCATGGGTAACTCTCAGGCCCCCTAAAGCACATGATCTAAGGATGTCTACAAGGTTCCATGAAAACCCCAACACATAGGACCTGGCTCTGCCTCTCTTCCAGAAGTCTCACCTACCAGTCTTTGTGCTTGCAACAACCAACAGCTCAAATTTAGCTCATAGCCAGTCCTCTGGCTATTTATTGGCCCCCTGAGTCAGATGAAAGGGATTCCTATGTATTTAATTGCTATAGCCTAAGGACCAAGTGGTTTCTGCCATCTGGGGGGGTGGGCAATTCAGACCACACAGTGGTCACAGACTGGTTCAACATCATCATGAAAATCATTGCAGGAGAAAATGGCAAATCTGAGATTTCTAATATTTTATTTAGGAGGTTAAATTATTCACTAAGTCCTGCACTTCAGAGACCCTAAATGGCCTATGCAGTTGGCTGGCCCCGGGTACATTGTCCTTGCTATTGGGGAGGGGGAATTATGGGTGTAGGAGGCTCCCACCTGGGACAGGAGGCAGCCTGGGTCTCTGCCCCTGCCCCCAATCCAAGGGTTGTAAGTCCCTCTGGGGGAAAGAAAAGGAGGATCCAAATAGCTTTTGGCATCTTACTGCTGACGCAATGCCAGTCCTTCTCTCACGGGCTCACTCTTCAAGGCTGCTTAGGTTCAGTGATGTCAGGAATTGATCCTAACTGAAACTCCAGGGTTTTACCTGCACCATCCATCTGGGTCCTGCATGCCTGTGAGGCCTTTCTGAGATACCCACACCTGAAGTGCTGTGAAGACTGCTGACCTGCAGCCTCCACTGTAGGTGGCCAGGTCCCCTTGGTTGCTGATATGATGGTTATTTTTCACTATCAACTACATCTGGAATTGGCTAAAACCCCAAAATGGAGGGCACTCCTATGAGGGAGTTTTGCTTGATTTGAAGTAGGAAGATCTACTTCTAATCTAGATTTGTGAGTTAGGAAGACACACCCTTAATCTAGATCTTTTGAACTGGGAAAACCCACCTTTAGTCTGGACACAGCTTCTGTTGGAAACCTATAAAAGAAAGATGGAAGAAGGAAGCTTTTTCTCATTGCCTGCTTGTTCGTACCTTGGCAGGGAGTCCATTCCTTCACTGGCATTACAGCCTACTTCTTCAGGACTCCAGCATGTGCTAAAGACAAACTGAGACATCCAGTCTCATGGACTTAGCAACTACTCAGTTCTTGGAATTTCTGTTCATAACCAGCCATTGTTGGATTATCTGTACCACAACCTGTAAGTCATTCTAATAGATCCCTTTTATATCTATCTATCTATCTATCTATCTATCTATCTATCTATCTATATATATATATATATCTTTATTCATCTATCTAACCTGTGTCTATATATCTATCAATGTCTATATACATATTTGTATATATATATGTATATGCACACATATAAGGAGATTCATTCTATAAGTTGCTTCTCTAGAGCACCATAACTAATACACTGACCTCCTTTGTAGGAAATGTGGACTATCTCTTAAACCATCCTTCTACACATTTCCCCATTCCTAGGCTCATGAGGCTTCCATATTCCTGGGTTTTAGGAGATGTTACCAATGGATGCTCTAACTAGGCAAGAAGAGAGAAAGGGGAGCCTGAGGAAGTCTCGCCTGGGCTGGGTCTCATACCTAAATAATATTTGACAGGGTAGTCCTATGAACTATACTTGGCCTGACCACTGGAAGACCAATAAAAGGAAATAGAAAACACCTGAAACTTACTTTTCAAACAACAAATTGGGAGTTTGGGCTAGGAAAGCCGTGGAATGCTTTAAGAACTGCTTAAAGGGCCATACTAGTAGGAACATGGAAGACAGTGGTGCTGAGTGTGATTTGAACTGTGGGGATTGAGAGATTTTGGAGAATAATGTTAGTGTGTGGTCTAGAGACCAGTCTTAGGATATTTTGGTGGAAAAAGTGGCTGATGTTTGACCTTTCCTGAAAAGTCAGCCTGAGGCTAAAAATGAAGAGTTTTGGATTAATTCCATTGGTAGAGGAAATCTCAAAACAGTCTAGTATTGACTCTGTTGTGTGATTATTAGTGTTCACTCTTAGGTAAATCCATAATGAAAAGGAACAAGCTGAACAAGGAAAACTACAAAATGTACAATTTGAGGAAGAAAGTGGCAGCAGAAAGTAGAAGGGAGCTAAGTCCTGTGTTCAAGGAGATAAACAGATTAAGAACTATAATAAAGTGAGTGGTGACCTCAGGACAAGGCCACACCCAGTGGAGCTTCCATCTGTGGAAAGGAATTAAAGAACAGCTTAGGTCCAGGCTGTTCTTTAACATGCCTTTAACTTCAGCAGGAGACAGAGGCAAACAGATCTCCAAGTTTGAGGTCAGCCTGGTCTACAGATTGTGATTCAGGACAGCCAAGTGTAGGCAGAGAAGGAAACCATGGGAAATAGAAAGCTGGTGAAGATATAATTGAATGAAGGGGCCATGTTCTTGCCCCAGCAAGCGGCAGAAATTAGCAGCATCAGCCATGTGGTGCTGGAGTTAAGGAAAGAAGAAAGGGACTATGGAATCTTATTCCACAACTAAGGAATAGCTGTTAAGGTCAGGCCTGTGTCAGGGCTGTCCCTAAATGGAGGCCCAGAGAGGCCATTGTGTGAAGCTGTGAAGGTGAAGCCTGGATTGCCTTGGAGACCCCAAGATGCTGGGGATGCCAGTGTCATGGGATACCTGCTGAGGAGAGCTGATACAGGGCATAAAACCAGCCCAGGAGAAAGAAGTGTGTTCCAGTCAACAAAGCTGAATGGAGTTGGAGATCTGAACAGCATTTTGATATCAGACATGGAGATGTAGTGTTTGGAGTTTGCCCAACTGGTTTTCAGTCATGCTGTGGTTCAGTATTTCCCCACTATGCTCTCAACATATCATATAAATTGATGTGGAATAATGCTCTTGTTCATGGTAAAGATTTGTCACTCATATTGGTTTAATAAAATGTTGATTGGCCAGTAGCCCAGCAGGAAATATAGGTGGGGCTATCAGACTAGGAGAATTTTGGGAAGAGGAAAGTCAGAGAATGAGCTGCCAGCCAGATGCAGAGAAAGTAAGGTGGGAATTCCTTACTGATAAAAGACACCAAGCCATGTAGCTAAGCAAAGGTAAGAATTATGGGTTAGTTTAAGTTGTAAGAGTTAGTTAGTGATAAGACTGAGCAATAGGCCAAACAGTTTATAATTATTATAACTCTGTGTGTTTATTTGGGACTGAACTGCTTCAGGACCAGGTGGGACAGAAGCTTCCCTCTATAAATAATGATTTGTTGGAAGTATGTGATATGTTTTTTGAGTTTGATCTTATAGAGGATTACAGTTAAGAGATTGCATGAATCTCAAAAGAGAGTTTGAACTTTGGACTTTATAACATTGCTGAAACTGTGATGTATTATGGGGACTTTTAAAGCTGGACTAAATGTATTTTGCATTATATATTTATAAGCCTATGGGGATCAGGGAGTGTAATGTAGTAGTTTGAATGTAATTGGCCCCCAGAAGCTCATTGATAGTGGTACTGTTAGGAGGTGTGGCCTTGTTGGAGTAGGTCTGGCATTGGAGGAAGTGTGTCATTATGCAGGTGGGCTTTGAGGTCTCATGTATGTTCAAGCCACACCCAGTGTCTCAGTTCAATTTGTTGCTTGCATATTAAAATGTAAAACTCTCAGCTCCTTCTCCAGCACTGTGTATGCCAACATGCTGCCATGTCCCACTATGATGATAATGGACTGAACCTCTGAACTCTAAGTTGCCATCTCAATTAAGTATTTTCCTTTATAAGAGTTTCTGTGAATGACAGACTCTGGAGATCCCCCATGGAGGGCCTCACCCTCCATGGGGAGCAGAGTGGGGATTGGGTGGGGGGGGATGGGCAAGTTGGTGGATAGCAGGGGAAGAGGGGAGGGAGAGGGAACTGGGATTGACATGTGAAGCAAGCTTGCTTCTAATTTAAATAATAAAAAATTTTTAAAAAAGACAATAGTTAAACAACGTGAGGTCATATTCCAGCTACCTGCCTGGACACTGGGGAGTGATAGACTTCTCAAGAGTACCTGTGGACAACAATGACAGTCAGTCATAGTGGCATATGGCCTTGTCTTAACCTCTTGGACAATGATGCCTGCAGTTATGGCAACCCAAATCAATTGTTCCCTTTCCCAAGGACCTCAGGACTGGAAGCCTCACCTATACAACTGTAGATTCCAGAAAAGCCCTGCCTGGGAGGAATCTATTCATCTTTTTGTGGAGGGAAATGTGTTTTGAGTTAGAGGGGAGGAGGCCTTGAAGTTCAGTGATCATTCTGCCTCTTGGCAATGGCCCAGCCCTGGCTTGCAGCAGGCAGAGTCAAGCCTCACTCAGCACAGTTGGAGAGATGGCTCTCTCATGAGGCAAGTGGAGCTTCAGCATGTTCAGGAGCTTCTCATGTCTATTACTGCTCTGAGCTGTGTCCCTTGAGCTGGAGGAAGAGA